TTTACTTAGTGTAGCTTATTCTTGCTTACATATTATTAAAGTTAAAAAAGTACTCTAAAAAGTAAATATTTTTTTGTGTCATGAAAATTAATTTTTTTTTTCTAGAGTAAAAAAGTAAATGTAATAGCGTATATAATTTTTTCTAAAACGACTAACTCTTTACAAAAAAACAAACCTTGAAGCATTACTGTTTACTCTTATCTACTGTTTATTTTCTTTTTTAAATTGATTCATAAATAATCAGTACCTTAATCTCTATATATTTATAACGTTTAAATATACTTAAAGTCTACACCGCACAGTGACTTAAAAGTAGACTCAAGATAATCGGTCTCGAGTCTCGATTTATCGTCGGTTATTGGTGCGATGCCATACAGTATCGGTATCGAAATCACGCGATACTGGTATCAAAAGTATTGTTAATGGTGCTATTGTTTGGTATCGTTTGGTCTCGATGCAATACTTTACAGTATCAACATCGAGATCACGCGATACTGGTATCGAAAGTATCTGTTATGTTGGTATCGTTTGGTCTCGATACGATATCTTACAGTATGGATATCGAGATCACGTGGTACTAGTATCAAAAATTATCGCTTATGATGGCATTCTTTTGTACAGTATAAAGGATGAGAAAAATTTTCTATCGTGATTAAAAGGAAAGAAAAGATTTTGTTTAACATTTATTTCTATATTAAATTATTACAAATAATTAAATTATGTTTAACAGTGTGTAAGGGGCGGACAAAAAAGAGAGGTGGTATTTGGGGTACTACCCTTCCCCCTACCTAGGAAATGTCAAACTAAAAAATATTATTGATAAAATTAAAAAAATAAGAAAAAATACAAAAAACTGTAATTCAACATTTTATTATTTTTCTCAAAAAAAAAAAGTATTTATGTAACCAATCAATATATTTATTAGCAAACTATCTTAAACTTTTCTATAATCATTCTAAATGATCAAATAAAAGAGTTGTTTTATTTAAAAAAAATGTAAATCTTATCTTTTAAATTTTTTTTTGGTCGGACTACCCCCCTAGAACAATGACCTGGATTCGCCCCTGCTGTGTGCAGTTTCTCATATTGTTATTCCAACTCAATTTAATTTTTAACCCATTCAGGTTAAAATTTTCTGTGCGGAATTATATGGAATTTAATTTAATTAAAGGAAATAGTTTTGCGATCATTAAAGAGAGTTTTTCATATAATTCTCAAAAATTAATTGCTGTGATACAATTATAAACAATTATTCTAAACGAGTATTAAAAATGCTTGTTCAAAGAGATTTTTGTGAAGTTATGTAACTTTCATTAAAGAGAGTTTTTCATATAATTCTCCAAAGAAAATTGCTTAAGAAGCAATTGTTAATGATTATTCTAAACGAGTATGAAAAATGATTGTTCGAAGGAAATTGATTTTGTAACAGTCATTACAGTTATTTAAATTTGATAATATCATTATTCTCGCCTGGTCTTTCGTTCTGTATTCAACATTTAACAATTAAACTTTAGTTTTAAACAATTAAACATAAGTATACTTTAGTTATTAAAGAAAACTAATATTCACAATGCCGCAAAATAATCCTGAGGTTCATTACCGGCAGAACCATTTTTATATACTTAGGTCGTTATGAAAGTTCGTAGAACTCCAATTAAAAAAAAAATAAAAGATTTTTTTAATTTTTATTTTATTAAATGTTCAAAATAATGTCCATCATTATCTATAAAAAATTGCATTCTTTCAAGCCTTTTGTAAAACGTTTTTTTATACTCTTTTTTGGGTATACTTTCTAGTAGCGTCGTTACGCGGGTTTTTGGTTTTCGATGTCAGTATCGTCATCGAGATTTTTTTTTATCAAGTCGAATAGCCAATAATCGGATGGAGCTAAGTATGGTGAGTATATCTCAAAGAAAACCGCAACTCATTCCATTTAACAATATCACATAGCCTCCATGGGCCGTTTCTGAAGAGGGTTAAATTTTCCTTATATGCCTTAACTTTATTCTTTCGAGTTTGATCGGTTAACTCTTAGAGTATCTAACATGATGTTAGTTTTCTTTTTGTAAGTGCGTTGTGAATAATTTCGATGATTGTAAAATGATCAATCGATGTCAGGGCTTCAATTATGTCATGTCTTCCATGCAGATTTTCTTCAATAGTGGCTCGCACAAGTTCAATATTCTCAGCTGTATACGTGGTTTGAGGGTGCCTTGAGCGAAGATTATCTCCAAGAAGATTATCTCCAAGACATTGGTATATAAGCGATACCACGCGATACAAAACCATTCTTCTCGGTATCGACTTTTACGATACCGATTATCTAGTGTCTACTCAAAACAATAAAAAAATGGCAAAAAACTTTTTTATAAATTTAGTGCTTTTTTTAAATAATATTAAGTTAAAATAATTTTCAAAAGTAAAAATAATTTTTTCATAAAATGTTTATACTTTCATTTTGGAGTTAAAAGAAGTGAAAAAACTTGATATCATTTTCAGAGAAATCTGAAAAATGAGAGATTTTTATATAGGGTAGATCGGGGGGCATATAGGGACACTTAAGAAACAAATGTTAGTTGTGGATAGACTAATCATAGTTAACACTGTTTTTTATAAATTTCCTAAAATTCATTGATATAAGAAAAGAAAAAAACAAAAAAAAAATTTCTAAAAATAAGTTAAGACAACCAAAGTAACAAAACTCTAGACTAGCAAAACCTTTACATTTTGCAAGTAAAAAGCATCAGTTATTTGTCTTAAAAATGATGAATAATGAAGGCTATCTATTGCTTAAATATGTTCAGCCATTAAACTCTCAAAAAAAGTAACATATCCATAAAAACTACACGCCCATAGATCCATACACCACAAAAAAGAAATAACCCATACACAACAAAAAAGAAATGAAATAAAACATTTTTGTGTGTGTTTTATTATAAAATATCTCCGCTCTACTCTAACCTATATATTATTAAATTGGTAACTGCTACTAAATTTTAAATTAAACAAAAAATTTTATGGATCACATAAATCACACAAAGAATATCCTGAAACTGTTCGGCAACATTTTTGATGAGCTGGCTTATTAGCAATATGCCATTGTAAAGCAAAATTAAATACGCCATATGTATCAGCAGCTTTTCTAGTTCTAAGTTTCTTTTTACTCACACTAAAACTGAACTTCATCCCGTTTTGGATGATTGATCTTTCTTACATAGTTTCTTACCTTCTCTGTTTACATTAAACACTATTAATCATCGAAGTTAAGTTATAAAAATAAGAAATTCTTTAAATTTATTGCTAAAATTGATTCTAAATAAAAAAAAAACAATACTTAAAATTAAAAATAAAATTATCAAACTGTAAAGAGCATTGCGAAATGGTAGTATTGTACTCAATTATATAAATACTAGTGTTGTCCCGATATGCCCCACAAAAGTCAATTTACTGAAAATAATACTATTTAAAAAGTTCAATTCCAAAATGTTTTTTAAATCAGATTCTAAAAGAGGATAAAAAATACTGTCTGAAAAATATAAACTTTTTATAAATAAAGCAAATTCGCAAGAGTTCAATATAAATCTTTTGTCGCTGTATCTCTTTAGAAAATACGCAAATTTTGTTTTTCGCAAACTTACTGATGCATTTTGGTACTTTTAATGCATTTTGGTATTTCTAAAATCAATTTTTTTTACAATAACAAAGCAAAATAATTTAAAATGAAAAAAAAAATAAAAAAAAAAATAAAAAATTATTTGCGACTTTTTTTTTAAAAAAAGTCGCAAATAGTTTTATATTTTTTGTTTATATATCAGCTAAAAAAAATGTTACATCGAGTTCTAAGAATATATATATTTTTTCCAGTTAATTAGCATTTTCACCTTTTAAAATGTAAAGGGATTACTGCAGTCTGCTGCGGTATTCGAAGCTATTAAATAAATACAAATGTTTATGAATCCACAAAAACCTTGTTTTCCGCCATTTTTTAAAGCATTTTGTTATTTCAAAACAAGTGAAAATGTACGGAAACTTAAATTTAAGTTTTTTACTTTTACTGTTATAATAGAGTTTTTAAATCATAAATATTATATATAGTTGCTTTTGTGATTATATTCTATTTAGAAATTTGTAAAAACATTTTTTGTCAGTTTTGAAGAACGACATATTCTATAAGTACAACTTGTTTGAGAAAGCGTAACTCATTAACTTAAGTATTTCCTGTAATTCAAAATTAACTTAATATTATAATATTATTACAGGAGATCTAATGTGGCAATTCGAATAGCTAGCTATATTCGTAACTATAATGACAGCAATTTGGCCATGAAGATCGCTAAGTTTTTTAAGTTAGAGAAAAGCTATCGATATTTGTAAAAATAAAGATAGCAATTTGGCTGCGAGGACAGCTAGTTGATAAGCTAAAGACCCACTGGCAATTGCAGCTAGCGTAGTACCGTAAAAAAATCGCTGTTTAAAAAAAACTTGATATCTAGCTACCAACCAGGTATAGATTTGGAGAATCTATACCTGGATTATTTTCATAATTGTAACAGACCGAACATTAAAAATCGAATTTTTAAAGATGTTAAAGACATTGAGAAAAAATAAGAATAAAAAAAAAATTTCTTGAAAATACTATAAAGTTAGCTAGTTGCAAGCTCATTTCCCTCTGTGAATACTGAAGAAAGTTGCAAAGAAAACTTAAGTAAACTAAAGGTTGCTTTAGTTATATTTATTTCAAAGGTGAAGAAAAAACTAAAACAATGTGGCCGAAATTATGATACACTTTTACAAAAAAAAAATCATTGGCTTCAAAGAAATCTTATAACCAATAAAAATAGCCAATTTGCACCATAAAAAATGGAGTGTTCTTGGGGAGCAAAGCAAAAATAAAAAGATAAAAGAACTAGCTAATAAACATTGTGAAACTTTGTCTTCAGCGTCTGCAAATGCTTCTGGAGAAAAAAAAAACCTCTATTTAAAAAAACAATAGTTCTAACCTTTTAAAGATATAAAAAAGTTAATGAAACTTTGGATAGAACCTTTCCCATTAACATGAGTGTAGAGGAAACTCTTGCACTAAAAATGAACAGTGATTTTTTTATTTTTTATTTTTTTATTATTATTTATTTATTTTGCCATTGATAAAAATTATTACAATAAAGAAATTACAATAAAAGAAAATCCTCGCCGGAGCAAGAAGAAGACAGGTTGTCTTATCACCGAGCCCCGTCACACAAAAATTTACATGCACAATAAATGATAAAAGACAAAAAGACAGTATAAATACAAAAACAAAAACAAAACAAAACTTCAGCAATAAAATAATTTGTTGCTAACAATCTTCCAGCAGAATAATTTTAACTAAAATAAAAAAGTAAAAACGACGGAAAATCATGAAAGTTATAAAAACACAAAAAAAATGCGTTGTTTAATTAAAAAAAAAGCAATTTATGTAAACATAAGTATTTGGGCTGATTATTTAATATCATCAAAAATTTGAACGAAAAAGACGATTTTTCGTTCAAATTTTTGATGATATTAAATAATCAGCCCAAATACTTATGTTTACATATATTGCTTTTAAAACGAAAAAGTTTTATTTTCGTTATCTTTTATACTAATGGTTTTAAACCATTTTAATGAAAGCTAAAGAAAGTGTTAAAGATTTAATTTATTTTTAAGTGATTTAGTTTAAACCTTTAAATTGTTATCAAAAAAGGTATTTGAAATCTAATATATCGAATTCCATGTTCAGTAAATGCCGTTTTGAATCATCCTTAAAACTTTGCAAAGTGCAGTTTAAAACGAAGTTTTGTTTTTTACTAAAGATTGGAGGAAATTTTTTCCAAACTAAAGGTCCCCGATATTGAATTTGGTACAAACTTAATTTAAGAAGGTTTATGGGAACCACAAAGTTATTTATTGAAAATTTGGTTGGATGTTTATGGGAGATTTCATTAAAGTAGGATTGAAATGTTACTGGAGAAAACCCAAGTTTTGCTTTAAACATAAATAACATTACTTGATAAATATTAGGCTTATAAAAATTTAAAGCTCCAAGCTGACTTAAGAGAGGTTCGCATTGTGTTTTTCTATTTGTCCTAAATACTATCCTGCAAGCATGTTTTTGTTTACTATAAATTTTTTTGAGTTTAGTGTGATTAGTGCTACCCCAGAAAATGTTACAGTATGAAAGAAAGCTGTGTATAAACAAAAAATATAAATTTTTCGTTTATAAAAGACTCGTTATTAAGAAAAGGTTTTGTTCGATATAACATGGCAATATTTTTTGAGATCTTACCTTCAATATATTTAATATGAAATTTCCGTGTCAATTTTTCATCTAAGAGCACTCCCAGAAAGTTTGTAGTCAATTCCCTTTTAATTATTTTATTATTGATTAAAAGATTGGGCAGTTTAAGAGGAATATTCTCGGCTTTACTAGGTTTATGGATTAGGATAAATTTTGTTTTCTCTACATTTAATGATAGTCGGTTACTTATAAACCACTTGTTGATCTTGTCTAATTCTTCGTTAAATATTTAAAAAAAACAGTAATATCTTTGTGAGAATAAAACAAATTAGTGTCATCTGCAAATATGATAGTGTTTAATACTTTTGATGATAAATATAAGTCATTTATATGAACAATAATGGTCCCAAAATAGAACCTTGGGGTACTCCACAAGTAATTAAGTTGTTTTTTTAGTCTTTTGATTCTTTAAGTATAAATTGCTTTCTGTTAGTTAAGCATGATTAAAACCAAAGTAAACTTTGACTTTTAACACCATAGTTTTCTAATTTCTTCAAAAGAATTTCATGATTTGCTGCGTCGAAAGCTTTGGATAAATCAATAAAAACCCCTATTGTATAGCAATCACTATTAAATCCATTTGATATATGCTTAACCAATTCAATTATTGCATGTTCAGTAGAATGATTTTTTTTAAAACTGTATTGATTATTATATAAAATCTTATTTTCAGATAGATATTTATAAAGTCTGTTGTACATAATGCGTTCAATTAGTTTAGAAAAGCAGGGTAAGACTGAGATTGGTCTGTAGTTTGAAATATTGGTCTCATCGCCAGATTTGAAAATAGGTGTTATTTTTGCAATTTTTAGTTTATCTGAAATATGACCTGATTTAAGGGAGAGATTAAAAATATGGAATAATGAGGGTTCGATAATATCAAAAGCAGATTTAATTACATTAACATTAATTTGATCTATACCTGCACTTTTATTTTTTTTCAGACTATTAAAAGCAGTATGTAGTTCACTTTTGGTTAAAATCAGTTCTTCCATTATTAAATCAGTTGTTGCAAGATATGAATCAAATTTTTTTTGACTAACTGCAATTTTCGCTGCTAAGTTTGGGCCAACATCAAGAAAAAAATTATTTAATTTCTCAATAATAACTTCTTTATGATAAATCATTTTTCCCTCAATAATAAGTTTTTGCGGTAAGTTATTTTTTTCAATTTTATTTTTCCTAATTAGTCGTTTTTTAGTTTTTTCAAATAAATTTTTATAATTTTTGTAATTAGGTTCATTTTTATAAGTTTTATTTTTTAAATATTTATCTAGGCTTTTGGTCATCCATAGGATACGACCGACTTTGAGTTTATTACTTTCACTTTTAAAGGAAATTTAAAGGAAATTTTAGAAAATTGGTTTAGAAAAAAATCATAAGCATTACTTACATCGTGTGATTGCAGTACAAGATTCCAATCGACGTAATTATATAATAAATTTTTAAATTGACATATGGAACTTTCATTGATTTGTCTCATGAATACTGTTGATTTGTGAGTAGCTCTCAGTAATAAGAAATATAGGGAAATGATCAGTTAAATCAGTCTTGATTATACAAGTTTTAAAATGGCTATAATGGAAATTGTTAGTTATAACATTATCTAATAATGTCGATAATTTTTTAGTTATTCTTTTTGCTTTGTTTATAGTTGGGATAAGGTTGTATTCGAGAAGAATATCAATAAAAGTTTTTGCTTCACAATTTAAGGCATGGTTGAGTAAGTCAATGTTGATATCCCCAACTACGTAAACATGCTTTTGCAATATATTTTTTGTGCTTAGGAATGTGCGCAGATAAGTTTTGAATGTTTTTAAACTACCAACTGGCGTTCTATAAATAGCATTGATTATGAAATTTTTGCTAATTTATTTATTATCTCAACGCATAATGCCTCACAATCTGCATTGTTAACATTAAGATCTTTACGTTGAATAAAATCGAAAGAACGTATATGCTTATACCACCACCAACGCAAATATCGCGCATTTGATGAACTGATGTATAGTTTCTTAACTCAAAATTAGAATTTGTTTCATTGCTTTTAAGCCAAGTTTCTGCGAAACGAATTATTTTAAAATCATGATTAAGTTCTTTCAATAAACACTTAAAGTTCTCGAGGTTTTTATTCATACTTCGAATAATAATATGCAATATTGAAAATTCATTCTTATTCTCAAAGAGATATTGAGTAGATTCAGGTATTGAATAATACTCACTTACTAATAAGGTTTCAGTATGATTATCAGAGTTATTATCACTAAAAACAATATTTTTAGCATTAATATTATAAGAGAGATTGTTCTCCATTTCTAAAAATTAAATTAAAATTTGAAAAACTATTGATAAATAAAAAATAAAAATAAAGTATCGTTTAAAGAAATATAAAATATTGACGTTGCTTTTCGAGACCATTCGCGAACCAACAACTAGTCGTATGAAATATACGCAAACATTCCAGCTTCTCGTGCTTTTTTCATGCCCGCCCGTAATTATTTTCTAATTAGCATCGTCTCCGCGCAATAATCCTCATTGATATAAATATTTTCCCCATTCAATTTCCGAGAGTTTTTAGAATATTTTCCTTGTCTTTATAATTGAGCAATTTCAAAATTATGGATCTGACTTTTTTATTGTCTCTAGAACCAGTTCTATGTGCCCTTTCTATTTTTATATCATTCAACCCAAGAGTTTCTTCAAATAATTTTAACACTTTAGCCTCACTATCACTTCAACTTTCATTTTTGTTTTTCTTCAAACCATGGACTCTTAGATTGTTTCTTCTGGATCTATCTTCTATTTCTCTAAGCTTACTTTTTACTTTTAATATCTCGTTGTTGTCTTTTAGCTTTGAACTTATCTCTTTTTTTTTTGATTTCACAAGTTCAAATTTTTCTGAAGCAATATCGTCATTGGTTTGAATAAATTTTTTTATTTCAAGTAAATCATTTTCTAAGGAGACGACTTTTTTATTTGTTTTTTCTAAATCATTTTCGATTTTTTTTTTTTTTTATTAGGTTATTTATACTTTTTTTTTCGTACTTGTCAAGTCTCTCAGTGAACATTTTCTCTCAGTGAACATAATCTTAGCAATAAACAACATCAAATGATCAGAAACTCAGCTCTTGTACACAATGTACATATTTTTTTTACCTTGTACTATTTTTCAGTGGAAAAACTGATATGCTCTCCTGAAAATATACATTTTTCTAAAATTTCTGCAAAGTGTACTCTTCAAAGCATGTTTGATTTTAACCGGTTGATATGTCAGAATGTGGTCAAGGTGATAAAATATTTGGAGTTTCATATAGAAAGATTGGTTTTGATGGAACATCTAGCCAAAGTATTTATAAACAAAAATACGAGACCAGCAACACAAGTATAGAACATATGAATAAAGAAAATCTTTTCAGTACAGCTTTTGTGCCTTCATTGCTCAAGTTCTTTAAGAATTCCTTAAGTTGTCACTTTTGAAGACCATTCTTTATCTAGAGAAAAAGAATCAGATCAAAAAAATAAAACAAATACCTTAAAGACGTTTTGCAAAGTTTTTAATATTGCAGGAAGAATGATGACCTTTATTATGTAACTTTACCTTTAATACCTGCTATAGGATTGATAGAAAGAAAGAGATTTATTTGTATAATTTGAATTATAAAATTCTGTTTTATAATCAAATCACGAGTTTATTCTTTATTTGAGTTATAAAATGGAAATCAAAAATTATAAGCTAAAAATAATCGAGGAAAAATTACCTGTAAACCTAAGAAAGAAAGAGATTCAGTAACTCTTCAGAGAAAGGTTAAGCTTAGTTGCTAACATGCCTAAATCTGGGTTTGGCAATAGCAATGATGGCAATACTAACAGAACAGCATTTTAAAATAGTGAAGATTTTTCTGAAATTACTAAAGTTGATTGTGATATATTTAAAAGATTGCATAATATTCTCATACGTAATTAAAAGATATTCATAATATTCTCAAAGATATTCATAATATTCTCAAAGATATTCATAATATTATCATATAATTATAATATTATCATATAATTATAATATTCTCATATATAATTAAAAGATTGCATAATATTCTCATAACCATATCATTGCATAACCATATCTCATAACCATATCTCATAACCATATCTCATAACCATATCTCATAACCATATCATTGCATAAACATATCTCATAACCATATCATATCATAAGCATAATCATATCTCATAACCATATCTTGCATAACCATATCTCATAATCATATCTCATAACCATATCTCATAACCATATCTCATAACTATATCTTGCATAATATTCTCATAACCATATCTTGTGGATATTATATGAGTATCAATGAACTAAATTTATACTGCACTGAAGCAACTAAACGTATAGTGACTTTGTATGACAGGTATGTTATGCTTTCTACTGTACATAAACTGCTACTTCAAAGTTTTTCTATTACACAAAAACTCCTTTGCCATTTGGGGTATATTTGGAAGATGCACTGAAAAGTTTAAATAAACAGATAAGAAATTCTAGACTTAAAGGCACGCAAAAATATCAAGGCTAAATACTATGATGAATCAGATTCACTACCTTTTAGTAAAATCAGGTCCAAAAAGTATCAAGCATATCTAGTAAAAATTATCAAGCATATCTTGTAAAAATTATAAGAGTTATCGAGGACAACCGTTAACAGATGAAGTTATTAAATTAATTGCAACGTAAATAATAAAATAAATGTTATAAAATACGATTTTTTTCTCTATGTATCAACATTCTTTAAAAACCATTTATACAAAAATATCTAGTTGAATAATGCATTAAGATAATATGTTTGCATTGAATCTTTAACAAAAGTTATTTTGTGCGCGTACAGTCAACTTAAACGTGCGAACAAACGTATAAGGGTTCATTATACACGCAAAAAAAAAATTATTAAAAAGTTTGGAATCTTTGACTCAAAAATTATTATTTTATTATATAACATTATTTTTTAACAATTTTTATCAAGTTTTATTTAATTTTTGCTGTTTATTTAATTGTCCTGAGTTACTGTGCACCGCTTTGAATAGAACGCAACATTACGCATCGCTTGATTAGAAAAACACCATCACACGCACAAAAATTGTATCAGTTTGATTTTAAAAATGGTGATTATAATTTTTCTCTATAACATTATTATATGTGTGTCTGTGTGTGTTGCGTGTTTGTGTGAGAGTGTGTGTGCTAGTAAAAGAGTGAGAAAGCGATGGCGTGTTTACATGACGTTTGTTTGTATGACGTGTCTGCTCGTTTGTATCCTTGACAACCCAAAGGGAGATGAACATTTTTATTTTTTAAATTTATAAAATAAAGACATACTAACAACACCATCAGCATATCTGAATAGTAGAATCGATATCAGCAACGACTTTATCTAAAAGAATAATTTTAAAGTTAAAAAATGTTTATGCTAGTGTGTGCGTATGTGTCTGTATGTAAATATAAATATAAATTTTGTGTGTGTGTCTCCATGTATATAGAAACATAAATTTAGTTCCCTTTGCAATTGCTTTTTAGAAAAACTTTTTATTCTATTTATAACTTTATATGCTTTAAACGCGAGCATGTTAAAATTCAAGCAAAAGTTTTAAATAGTATGATTATTTAAGATTTCTAATAAAGTTTAGAAGTTTTTTCTACTTTTTTTTTTAATATGCAACAAATATGCAACAACTGGTACCTGGATTTCGCTTAACATAATTTAAAAAAGATGATTCATAACAGTTTATATTTCCATCCTCATTATTGTTTATATTTCCGTCCTTAACCACTTTTATCTTAAACGCTATTAGTATAATTTAATCCTCAAAAGTTTTATTTCGCATAAGCAATTCAATATTTGCTTGAATATTGTTAAAAATTTAAATTTACGAATTGCAAAATAATTCTAAAAAAAAGATTTTACTAAATTTTTTATTTTGCATTTATTAATATTTAAGTTGGTTTATCGCAACGCAAAATGCAATAGTGTTAAATATAAGATATCTATAATAGAAAACAAACCATATAGACGCATTTTGCATAATAAAATAAAACTAGTTTCACTATATTACATAGTTTGCTATTTTCATTTCATCAAGGTCAAGACATTTACTTCTTCATGGCTGACATATTCACTTCATTGATGCAGAAAGATTACTTCTTTAAGACAGAGACTTTAATAGAATTCTCAATTAAAATAAAAAGAAAGATATTAGGTGTAGGCATGGCCTACTTAAATTACACGGCTTGATTTGTTGCATTTTCCGTAAAAAATTAAGAGGCCAGTTTTTTTACGGCTCAAGTATAAAAACTTCATTTTTGTTATGGATAAGAGTCTTGTTTGCACTATAGTTGTTTTATCTTTATTTTATTCAAATGGTTTAATGATAGTTAGATTTTCTTTGAGAACTTACATTATTTTGTGCTAGTTTTTTGTTAACTGATTGCCTGCTTCAGTTTATTCCAATAACAAAGAATACTGAAATAGGCTTTCAGATAGCTATATCAACACATACCAACATGCTACTAAAAATAATCTTACATATTGCTAAAACTACTCAAAATTCTCCATTGGAAATAATTTTAAAGGTTTGTAATTTTGTATTTAATATAATTGCAATTATTAAGTAGAAAACATAAACTTTTCTTTAAAATATTTACACTGCAAAACAAGGTTTTCTAATGTAAATACTTTATTATGCTGCATGTCTCAAACATACAGTAATTAAAATGCAACGAATCAGGCCATTTATTTACAGTAGGCAAGAAATATCAATTAGGTACGTGCGTATCTGGCTATTTACGGCACCGATTTGTAAGTAAAAAACTGTGACCGTTTTTTTCACAGCGTGCTCGAAGTCGGTGTGGTAAGGATGTATTTATTAGTCTTTTTTTTTAGAATTTTATACCAGCTTAGACTTTTTTTGAAAAGTAGAATGTTTTAGGTTGTATAAATTATGTTTTTTTCCAAAAGTATTAAGTTTTTCAGTGATTTTATTGCTCTTTAAAATTTTGTTCGTGTTCTGGAAGTGCATTGATATTGAAGGCATGTTGCTACACATTTAAAATTTTCCAGTCAGCTGTGTAAATCTATTTTCTATGTTCCTGCCATATTTCATTAAAAAATATTCATGCGCAGACACCCTATTTTGCCACCTAGTGGAGGTACATTTTCCACCTTTTTTACAACTACTGTTACTGTTACACTTTATTAAACTGTTTCTGTTAATGTTACTGTTACTTCTTGATATAAATTCCGTTGTTTTTTTTACATTTACTAGTGGTTTTTATTAGATTTTCAAATTTCGTTTCTGTTCTGGAGGTACATTAATATTGAAGGCATGTTGTTACACTTTTAAAATTTTCCAGTAAGCAGTATAAATCTATTTTCTATGTGCCTGCCAAATTTCATTAAAAAATATTCATGCGCAGACACCCTATTTTTCTGTACAGTGGAGGTATGTATTTCCACTTCCGTTTAGGCGGGGAGGGGGGGGGGGGCGTAATTTGATGGTGAACATTTGGTATATTAGATTGTTTATTCATAATAATGAGATATATAGATAGTTTTCATTAAAAAGGTATACAATTTTTTTTTCAATAGCCTTTTATTAGTAATAAATGGCTATTGAAAAAAAAAAGTTGTTACTAATAATATTACTAACACTATTGTTGTTAGTAATAATATTACTAACACTATTGATGATTTCACACACCAAAATTAGTTTCAAGGCTAAATTCTGTTAAATCTAATTTAAAATGCTGAAATAAAATTTATGACACTTTTTTATGGTGATTCAGAATAAAATGTGAAATAATGATAACAAACAAAAACAGCATTTTCTCAATTTTTTTCTGTACCCATAATTTACCATATAACCACCAACCAGCATTATTTATGATATATAAAAATTATATATATCTATAATTTTTTATTGATCAAAGGCAATTTATTAGTTAGTTAATTGTGATTGATTGCTGACCCAATTAAATAGTAATTAAATATTAATAATGATTAAATTACAATTAAAGTAGTGTTATGATCGTTGAATTTAATTTAGTGCATCATGGGACCTAAAAAGAAAACAAATCTATTTTATGGTAAAGCTAAATTTTATTTAGTTTGTAATTTTCCAATACCAGCTCATTTAAATATGGGCTGTAGAAATGGACATGTACTGCATATATTGGCAACTAACAATGATTCATACCAAGTAACTGTAGAACTAATCAGTAAGTATTTTAACATCAACATTTCTCCCAATCAGATTCTGCAACTAGTTAGAAAATCAAAAGTCTTTGTAAAAGCTTTTTCACGAAATTCAAAATAATTTATTGACATCTGCAACATGCTCTTTGAATACCAACCAACAACATCTGCTGTGACTCAAACATCACAGTTAATCACAACCTCTAATCACATTGCTACGTGTTCTTCATTTTTTTCTCAGCAAATCACTGTTTCGTCTCTATCAAATAGTGACTCTTCTCAAGAATCAATATCCAGGTTGAGAGCTGACCAGGTTAGTCCCAGGAAAAAGATTATGAGAAAGAGATTAACCATTTTGGAAAACGAAATCGCAGTTAAAAAGAGAAAACATAAAGAAGATCTTAAAGGTTTAAGAGAAAAGGCAAAGGCTAGACCATACAGATTAAAATATCTAAATCAAGTTATTGCTCGTAAGGAAAAGATAATTCATCAACTTAGAAAAAAATTAAAAGAAAATTTTGTAAATATACAGTTAAAAAAACTTCAAAATCAAATTTTTTATTTAAAACAACAGTTAACATTCACCGAAACCAAGTTTTTTAATCAAAAGACAATGTTATCCCAACAACTTGCTGACAAAAATTCTGCAATTCTTGTACTTCAAAATGACATACTGGTTTTACAGGAAAAGTTAGAAGATATTCAGCAAGTAACACAAAACACCAAAAATGAAAAATGCTACTCAGCAGATATCAGAACACTTATATATGACATGCTTGTGTGCCAAGTTCCTACTCATAGTGTGCCATCTCTGCTCCATAAAATTGGAGAACATACTGGCTATCAATTTAGTCAAATTCCACATCGGACAACTGTAAACAAATGATGCGTGAGCTTGGTGTTCTTTCAGAATTACAGACTGCTGAGATAGCATTTACAACGAAATATCTGACACTTGGTTTTGATGCAACAACCCAGGAGGGTGTTCATGTAAATGCTGTGCACTTAACAACCGAATCAGTATGTATGGTTGTAGCTATTGATCAACTTCCTGGAGGTACAGCTTATGACTATCAGAGTCATATTACAAAATCTGTTGATAATCTTGCTAAGTTATATAGTGACTTCTATAAGCTTAAATACACTGATGTAAGAAGCACTATTATCGGGAACATAACAAATACCATGAGTGATAGAGTTGCAACAAACCATGCAACAGTCTCAAAGTTAAACCTAGTTTGGCAGAAATCATTAAATGAACTTAACTGTCACCTTCACCCCTTGGATACAATGACAAGCTCTTGCAAGTCTTCACTTAAAGCATTAGAGACTTCAAAAGGGAAACTTTTTGGAAGAGACTGCATAGCAGCAAACATTGTTGTACAGCTGAACAAACTTCGTTACAAGGATGCTAAAGGTACCTATATAGTTTTGAAACCATTCTTTTACTTTAATATAGTGTAGTTTTGTAAATAAAATTACAAGTTAAAAATATATAAATATTATAATTATTGCATGTTTTAATTCATATTCTCCTTGCAATTCCCAAAATGACTTTCTTTATGTTATTCATAGGCGATCCAAAGGGTTTTGTAACCTTTTTGGACCAACATGAGTTGCCCAGAGGATTGCTACCACGCTATAGAGGGAACAGACTACATATACTTTTTCACACATGTGGTATTTTGATCCATCATTATGCCATATTGAAGATATTTCTGTGTTCTGGCTTGGCGTTATGTGGAGGTCTGCGAAATAGTTTGTTTCAAGACTTTACATCTGAAATAGGTATACCACTATTATTTACAATATTATAGGTTATAGAATGCATCTTTATAACATAGTAATGACACATGATTAACAAAGAATAAAGACAAATTTTATTTTTTGTTACTTATTAACTAATTTACCTTAGGTATCCGTGAGTTGTGTGTTTTAGCTTTAATTGGAAAGCTACTTTCTGGCCCTTGGATGACAAAATTTTATATTGCACCAGGTACAGGACTTGACTACATATCTGGCATTCAGGTAGTAAAAGATGTTAGGAACACTCTTATTGAGAGCAGCAAGAATCCCTTATCTCTACTTAAACGAAAAACTGATTTCTTTGGTAATGATATTGAAGATGTTGTTTTTGATTCAATAATCAGCTTTTGCCCAGTAACTAATGAAATGAGTAAAGCATTAGGTGACTGTCTTAATGCTGTTATTAGCGTCATTGACAGGCAGTACAAGCGTCAGTTCGAAATGAGTTCCAATGATCTTCTTAAAGACCAGACTAAGTCAGCTAGGCTTCACAACATTGATTCAGAAGAACTTATGGGTATGTTTAGCGCTGCAAAGCACAAAGCTCCTAATGCTACTCTTTGTTTTCTTTCTTGGAAACTTCGTGGTTGCAAAAATAAAACAACTGCTCTGCTTTGTAAAAAGCCAACTGATATTCAAAACAAGTTGATATTATGGGCTATCTCTAATGCCAGGAAAAATCGATTTACAAGTATGCAATGTCATAATGAACTGAAGTTAGAACTGCTAAAACGAATGGCAGATAAAATTCAGAAAAGGGAGGACAAAGACCGCAGAAAGGTAGAAAAAATATTAAAAAGTTGCATGCCCGATCAGGTAAAAAAAATGTTTCCTGACCTAGAAAATAACGAGGCCTCAGATATTAAAGAAATTCTTATTGGAGCTGCTATTGGAAGAAGTATTTGCCACATGTGGTTCGATAATGCCAATAACACCCATGAGGTATATTACGCAGAATTGTTAGCATTAAAAAGAAGAACAATGATATATATATAGTTTCTTATTGGAAACCAAATGAAAATGAAGATGATGACGGTGTTGAGTATGATATGAGCAAATATCAACTTTCTGCAGACATAATAAGCGGTGATATGGTGATAACATAACAGAATTGTGTAATAATAAGGTATATTTTATTTTAAGTATTAGTATGTCTTATAAACTTGCATTAACAGATAATATTTACAGATAGTAGGTGAATTTCTTTTTTTTTTTTTTTAAATAAATTTTGCAATGCTTAATATATATCTAATTCCTTCCTTTTTTTGTAGTATTATGAAAAGATTTATAATTTTTAAATTTGTTTTTATATATACATATATTTATATAGAAGTTTAATTTTAGGTAGTCGGGTAGTTACCGACATCCAATAACCAGGGTTGACCTGGTTGCAACGTGCTATGGGAAACCAAAGCTCATTTACTTTTTGACATAAGCAAATTGCTTGGCTTATGACAATTAATGTTTATCATTGATGTTTATCATTATCAATGATGGCAATGCATTTTTCTATCAAGTATAACAGAGTTTCGCTTGCGTGGATTGAGAAATGTTAGTGTTCCATTACAATAAATCCCTTTAAAATTAAAATTTTTATTTATTATTTATTTAAAGTTATCTGGCCATTACCAGAGAGTAATGACCAAATAACTTTTTCTTCATTATAATTTTTAATCAAATCTTTTATATTTCAGGTTAAACAGTATTGAAGGGTCTGCTATCGATTTTTTTGTTTGGTAATGGGAAGTTTGTTGTGTATCAGGAGTTAAGTGATTTTGAATTTTTTAACTTAATAAATCATTCTTATATTTAGTAATCTCTAATGGGTTTTTTATTTATGGTGCTAAATATCTAATGCATTTTCATTTATTTTTTATTGCAAGGTTTTAACAATAATGGCAATTTGCTACTGTGGATATTTATGTTAAAGACCTCAAGATTATATTTATTAATTCAGTAATTACAGTTAAATGTTAGTTCATTATACATTAGTTAATTGTTAGCCTTAATTTTTATATTTTTTTTAATATTATATCTGATATATTTTTTCTTATTGCAAGGTTAAACAACATGATGAAAACTACATGGTTGCTTCAGTGGATGTTGATCTTTTTCATATCAAGATTAAACCGGTTAGATCATATTTATTTAGAGGTTTATTATGTTTATTAATGCAGTAATAAAAGTTATATATTATTTATTATCCGGGACATAGGGCATCCTTATTAAATAGGTATTGCGATATAGGTATTGAGAAATTTTTTATTTATTTTAGATATCATTGGATGTGGTTTCCTTTGCGTACTAAAGAATCGACTCTTTCTATCTATGGATGTCACAGTTTTGTTTGCTTCAAAATCTAGGCTTTTTTCAAAGCCACAATTCTGTTAAAAACATTACTGAGCAAAAAAAAAATTTTTTGTTAAAGAAGTGTGTTTTAAATAGTTTTAGTTTTTGCGGTTTGTTGGAATTTATATATAATTAGATATATGGGGCTATGGAAGGGAAAAGGAAGGGGAGCAGTGGTGGACATCCCCCCACCCACCCCACCCATTTGTTTAGTTGGATATTTTTTTAGTAGGTTTTTAGTTAAACTATATGATGTAATTGACACGGCTTTTAAAGTGGGGAGGGGGGCCAACTCCCTAATTTAAAAATTCTAAAAAAAAGGTCCTCGAAGCAATTAGTGGGGGAGGAGGCATAGCCCTCTATGGTGTCGACGGCCATGAAAGAGGGAGGTGAGACCCCTTCCGTGAATGAATTTTTTGTTTATTTAGTTGGCAAAATATATCTTTATATCTATATCTTTCATTGAAAAAGATAAAAATAAGCATAAATAGAGAGCGAAAACACTAAGGCTTTAAATGTCTTTAAAGTTCATCTATACGCTATAGAAAACCTAGCCTTGGTACATATTTAATAACATAAATATATATAACCTTAACCATTATTATGTATAAATGTATATATATATATATATATATATATATATATATATATATATATATATATATATATATATATATATATATATATATATATATATATATATATATATATATATATATATATATATATATATATATATATATATATATATATATATATATATATATATATATATATATATATATATATATATATATATATATATATATATATATATATATATATATATATATATATATATATATATATATATATATATATATATATATATATATATATATATATATATATATATATATATATATATATATATATATATATATATATATATATATATATATATATATATATATATATATATATATATATATATATATATATTGTAAGTATCGTTAAAATACACGATATTTTATTTAAAATTTTGTTATAAATTTTAATATTAGATTTTTATCATTAAAAATATTTTTGTTATAAATTGTTAAAAAAATTTTGTTATATTAAAAACTTTTTTAAAAATGTTATTAACTCGTTTTGCACATTTCACTAAGCAAAATCATGCGCAAATTAACAATAACGTTCTACAACAAAGCTACCGTTAGCCGAACGCGAGTTTTTTACGATGGTTGCATTTTTCCTAAGCAATCCTTCATAAAAAAAAATGTTACTTAAATAAGCATAACTTTTTTTGTAATTGTTTGTTTTTCATAAAATTTTCACCATTTTAATATAAATTCAAAGCTCTTTCGAACCATATATAATACTTAAATGAATAAATGGTTTAAAATTTTTACACACGTACCTACTTAAATGGTTTCGCAGTGGTGAAAATTACAAATTGAAAAACTATAAAATATTAGAAAAATCATTGACAAAATTTTGGTATCAGAGATTATTTGCTTCTTGTGGGTAAGATGTACTTCCAAAAAGCAGCCCATTATCAAAGTGGTAAGTGATTTGATAAAGATTGAGAAAATCTTTTTAAAGAAGTTTTTAAAGAAGTTTTTTGTTTTTATGATTGTAGGGCTTCAAAAATTTATTCTTATGTTTTGAAATCCTCATCTAAAGTTTACATAACTGGTTTATGTTTGAAAAAAGAAATTGATGAGTATATTACCTCAATGCACCAATCTGAATTTAAGATAAGAGCTGTTGTTACCGATAACCATTCTACAAATGTTAATGCATTTTTGTTGTTTAATAAAGCATATACTGGAGATGGAAAATTTATCATTTAGTTTAGAAAAGGGGTGTTTAAAACATACTTGTTATTCTCGGTTTTTTTTTTTTCTTCTTGTTGAAGTTACTGCTAATTACATTACAGGGAATATATTTCTTAAAGTTTATAAAAAGATTAGTTATTAAACAGGCAAGAAAAAGCAATAAAAATTAAATATCAAATCACATATTTTGGAAACAACAAACAAGTTGTCAACATTGACAATATTTGACGAAACAACTGCAGCTGTAATTTAGAGTTATTTTTCTGAAAGAAATAACGCAGCACAATTTTTATCATTGTTTTATAAGTTATTTATGATACTTAATTCAAAGCAGAAACTTAATTCATCCAATCAAACTCAGCAGTGTTGCTTTGAAAGGTGATAACAAACCCACACTTTATAGAGAAATTGCAAATTGTACTAAAATTTCATCAAAATAAAATTTGATAAATAATTTAACCAAACAAACTTCTTGTCCTCTAATTACAACACTACAAGCAATCGTATTTCTTATGCGTGATTTTTTTTGAAGAAGGCTTTACATTTGTTTATAGTTCCAATTTACAAAGTGATCCTTTAAAGCTAGGTTTTAGTAAAAATAATTACATTTAGTAAGTATAATTACAGTAAAAAGTATACTTGGCAACTCCAAATAGCAACTAAAAAATCCTTTGTCTGTACTATTGCTAACCAGAGTCAAAACATAGCCCAGCGTGTTTACACCATAAATAACCATGAACTTGCCCATGTTAACTGTATGAGAGATCTTGGAGTTACCATTGATAGAAATCTCAAATTCAATCAACATATCAATCTTATCGTACATAAAGCTATGTCAAGAGCTTTTCTTATTTTAAAATCTTTTTCTTCACGAGATAGATTGCTGATGGTTAAAGCCTACTGTACTTATGTATGACCTATGCTTGAATATTGCTCTTCAGTATGGTCACCTTACACTATATGCCTGATTAATAAAGTTGAGAAAGTGCAGCGTTTCTTCACTAAAAGAATTGCTGGTCTGTGGTCAGTTTCCTATGATAAGCGTCTAGCCATACTAAAGCTTAACACGTTAAGCATTAGTATGGCTAGACTTTGCATTAACTCATGTATACATAAAGCTTATCGACGAGTGTTTAAAGATTTAGTTTTATGCTACAAAATTCTTAACGGTAAACTGAACACTGACCTATCAAACATTCTTATTCTCAATTTTTACTTGAATAATCGAGGTCATAACTTTAAACTGTACAAACACCATTGTAGTTTAAACAGCACAAAGTGTTTCTTTTCTAATCGAATTGTTAATGTGTGAATAGTTTATCGGAGGATGTGGTGTCTGCATCGTCTGTCTTGATGTTTAAGAAACGTCTTGCTGTACTTCTTTGTTCAAGTTAATACAATTTTGTTGTAACTTGTCCAGCACTTGATACAATTTAATATTTCAGTAAAAAAAAATGTACACTCAGTGTTAGTGGCCTTTGGGTCCTTCTGTTGTTTTCAAATAAATAAATAATTAAATGACCAGTAGTAGACTTTTTGTGAGTCTTTTAGAAATATACATTAGTAAAAAGATTTAGGCAGATTTTCCCAGAAAATATTTATCAGAATTTTGATAATCCTTAAAAAATATTATGCAAAATATTTCTTAGTTGTCTACATAAATACTACTGTATTTATGTAGACAATTAAGAAATATTTGTAGATAGCACAGATATATATACTAAAGCAAGTAATCATGGTAAAAATTAACAAAAAGATTTTAATGTAAAACTTATGATCATTAAACGTTACTTTATAAAGAGAAGAACCTATATATTAAATTCAACCTGTCTAATTTTATTTGTCATCTTTTTAGTATTTTATGTTATTTCTCTAATAAAACATTGCAGTCGTTCTTTTTCAATTAAAAATTTGTGAAACAAATTTTAAAGATTTGATCTAGCAGTAATAGTTTAACAAATAAAAATCACCAAAAATGGGGAATCAAATATAGATTTTGTATTGTTAACAATATTTTTTATAATAAAAAATTACATATTCATTGAGAAAAGATCAAGTAAAAGAATTCCAAAAAAGTCAAAGACAAAATAAACATTTCTAACAAAAATTTCTTCTTTTAATTTTAATTATAAAAAATACAAAAGTACAAACCTTTTTTTTTGTTCAATAGAAAGTTTTAGGCAATCTTAACAACAAGAAAGATTATTTTTAGTAGCATGTTGGTATGCGTTGATATAGTTATCTGAAAGCCTATTTCAGTATTCTGTGTTGTTGGAATAAACTGAAGCAGGCAATCAGTTAACAGAAAATCCAGCACAAAATAATGTAAGTACTCAAATGAAAATCTAACTATTATTAAACCATTTTAATAAAATAAAAATAAAACAATTATAGTGCAAACAAGACTCTTAACCATAACAAAAATGAAGTTTTAATACTTGAGACGTAAAAAAACTGGCCTCTTAATTTTTTACGGAAAATGCAACAAATCAGGCCGTGTAATTTAAGTAGGCCATGGTGTAGGAAAGTGATCCTAACAAACATGGATTCATTTTAAACGCATCTATATGGATTTTGGACGGGCTTTTGCAAATAATGTCTTATATTTATAATATTAATTTAAAGCGCTTGTTAATTTTCTTTTTATTTTAATGGAACCCATCATTTTAAAATACAAACAGTCCAAAAGTTTATAAATCTAAATTAAAAACTTGTGTGCGATTTATGCTTTTTTTTTTTTAACAAAACTCAGTAAAAGCTTTATCTGTTTTTTATTTATCTAGTCCAAAATAGGCTGAGGTTTTTCCCTTTAACGCGTTTTAATATTACATTACTTTTTTTATAATCGCAAAAAAACTATTTGAGGTTCAGTCAGGTTTACTGAATTATTCTTCTTAGTTAAGTGACGAAGTGACAGGATAAAAACTCGTGTTGCACAACAGCTCAACTTTTAGTTTGACGCTCTTACCAAGCAAGCTATCCAGCCACAAATGATAATGGTTAGATGTTGGCTGCAAGGGCAGGTTCAACTATGTTTACTATGGTTATTGCACCTTATCTTAAAAGAGATAGGACATCATTGGAACATCCCCCCCCTATATATGGCAACAGTATTTTATACTAGGACAAATTTGTTACTTTTAGATATAAAGAATAGTATCCGTAAAAAAGTGAATAAAAAAGATGCTCGGTGGATTTCTTCATTCTTTTTTGTAAATGCATGAGAAAAATGAGTTTTCTTGATTAATTAAACTTTGCATTAACTCATGTATACAAGTATCATTACCTGGTGGCTCCATTCTGAATGAAACTGCTGCATTAGGATCATAGATATATAAGTGATATGTGGACAGAGCACATTCTTCAGAGCTTAAATTTCCAACATGATGCAATATTTGCCCCTAGACCCCAATACATAAAATAGCCATTATTTAAGTAGCAAACTTGGCTATGAAGGAAGAAAAAGATAAAGAGAAATTATAACCACTTATGTGTTTTAAACATTTTTTGATTGACAACATGATTAATAAGGTTTGCTGCCATTAAACCAGTTAATAACTGTGGATATGTAAAAAGTTACTTTCTATAGCCATATTTTTTCTAGCTATGCAATGCATATTATTACTAATGAATTTTTGCCTATTTTCAATTATTAGTAGTAGTAATAGTAATACAAACTGCTGTAACGACAATTGTCGTGGAGCATAAAGTTTAAAATTTATACTTTAACAGCCGTTAACAATTGTTTATCTAGTCTAGCTTTAAAAGAATTTACTGTCATTGCAGAAACCACTTTTTCTGGTAAAGCATTCCAATGAGGTATCACTCTGTTCGTAAAAAAATTATGTCTTGGTGTTGTTTTTGCAAATTCTCTTTCAAATTCTCTTTCGAAGTCTCTGGGAAGAAGCTTTATTAGGCTCTTTCAGCAACAATTCAGCAACAAGTTATCTCTACTCGCCTGCGCTGATTTCTTTCATAATGAAGGCAGTTTATCTCCGCTCGCCTCGACTCATCTCTTTCAATTCGACGACGATTCATCTCAGCTTGTCTAAGCTCATATCTTTCATTTTGGTTATGATTAATTATTAACAAAGTATTGTTTGTTTTTAATCAAAAAACAATAAAAAGTTATTTAAAAAATGATAAAACTTTTACAGATTAAAGCTCATAAATAAAGCAAATTTAAAAAATTTTGGGGCCTGTCTGCTCACCAAATACTGCTAGCATTAAACGGTGAAATGTAATCCTCCATCTTAAAATCCTCTTCATTATTTTGAAACGCATTTAATGCAAAATTTGCAATAAATTAGTAAATACAAAACTAATAACAGAACACCTCTATAAACAATCATATATTTGCTTCAAGTGAAGAAACTTGAAAATATTGAAACTTTTTGAACTATTTTATTTTTTTTATATATTTAACATTCTAAAGAAAAAAGGTTAATAATACATATTAAAAAAAAAAGTGCGTATGTCTGTCCCAGCGAACATGCCCTATTGGGGCCCATATGGTTTTGCCCAAGTGAGCCCTATGTGGGCTATATATATGGGTCCAAAATGGGCCCCATGTGGGCTAGTCCTTTAGGGCCCACATATGTAGTTAAAAAAGCGTTAAATTCCATCTTATTTTCTAAATTTAAATGCCATCCGATCGTGCGCACTATGGTATGAGGTACCTTGATAGGCAATTAGCTGGAGGAGTTTAAATTACAATACCGCTCTTACTTTATGAAAACCTTTTTACGTTTCTCAAATGTAATTACGTCTTAAAGCTTTTATCAAATTTTAAACTAAGTTCAAATAAAATCTATTTCGAAAAATCTTCTTTTTATTTAAAATCAAATCATTTTAAAAACTCCGTAATAGTGCTATCAATGTCATATGATAGTGGTAGTAAAAGAGTTTTAAATTGTATTTGCAAATTATTTCTTTAAACAAGTCAATTCTAAGTTACGAAGTCAGTTTTAAAAGACTAAAAAAAAATTTATTTTGGTATGAAAAAGCTTTAAAAAGTGTATACGCTATTTGAGTTTTTATAAATCACAAGCAAAAGTGTAAATAAAATGAAAGGTCTTGAAGAGAACCATTTAAGATTTATAATTCAACTTAAGTTTTAAATATACTTATTTATATGACTACTACTTTTACTATTTTGTTATTTTAATATTGCGGTGTATTTATTAATGTTTATTACTGTTTACCTTATTCTTTCTATGTTTGATTTCCTGTTATACTTCTATAAAACTAGGCCCAAGTCACATGTTTATGACTACATATTAAATTATATGTATCTAATTAATAATTACCCAATATATTATAAAAAACTAAAAAAAAAAAAAGTGGGATCCAAATGGGTCCCACATATGTAGCCCATATGGGCTGCCCACTTAGACCCCAGTTTATGCCCAGCAACAATTTTTCTTGGGCGGGAGTGGGCGACCCATTTGGGCCCCATAAAGCTGCCCACTTGGGCCCCATGTAGGGCTCAATATGACTTGCTGTCAAAACTGTATATCTTATTAACATTTCTTTCGAAAATATTTTTTTAAACACATTTTATAATTACACTAACTACAAACAGATTTAATTTATGTGTTACATCATGACATTACACCACTTTATTGGCACGAACAACATTCTTGCTCTCAACAAAGCCAAGTCACATTGTAGTAAAGTACACCACTTGGCTAGCAAGGTCAACATTCTTGCTGTAAACTACACGAAGTCCCAACATTGCTGTTATTATCAACAATTCGCAACCATGAAAACAACATTATAACCACTTATATACTATAAACACTTAACATAATATAAACCCATATAACCCTAACACATATAAAAATAACAAACAACACATAAAAATAATTAAATATATAATTTAAGAAAAATATATAAATATGAAACATTTACAAATACAATCCAATCCAACATTGACATACGGGTACCGTACGGGGCCCATACGGGTCGTCAACTATCATGGATCATGGCCACGGTTTTCATATGGGCCCCATATGGGTTAACCCACCGGGAATCCTGTATGGGTCCCAGTCAAATCCCGTACTTTAAAACCGTAAGGGACCCATTTGGGTTTGCAAATAAGACCCAGATGGGAAACCCATCGGGAATCCGCCGGATCTTGGCCGCGGTTTTCTTCCGGGCCCCATATAGGTATGCCCACCGGGTACCCCGTGAGGGTCCCACCAGGTTTATGCATTGCAAATCTTGCAAAACTACGTTTAAATGTTTAAAATTAACAGAAAAAGCAAATTTATATATATTATAATTAAAATTACACTGTATATATATATATATATATATATATATATATATATATATATATATATATATATATATATATATATATATATATATATATATATATATATATATCCCTTTAGCGCCCCGTGTAGCAGATCTGCTACATAACTTTAAAAACCTTTTACAGTTGTCCTGTCAACAAAGTGATCTTAAAAACACCCATTGTAGCATATTTACAACATAATTTTGTTGATCCGATTTTCCCAGGTTCATATAATTGGATGTTCAAGGCAAAAAACCACATCAAAGTTGTATTTCTAAAAATCGATTAATCGCGGTCGAACTAATGTTATTTAAAGTAAGTTTTCTCCTGTTTTTTATATATATTAAAGCTTTTTTGTTTATTTTGTTGTAAATTGATAACATATGTATGTTTTATGAGTATATAAATGAGTTTACTCTTTTTTAATCTAACACAAAATGCTTTCTGAACTTATATGTATCATATATGCTACAATGGGCTTTAAAGTATATATATATATATATGTAAATATATATATACTTATATGTACGTATATATGTCTATCTCTCTCTCTCTCTCTCTCTCTCTCTCTCTCTATATATATATATATATATATATATATATATATATATATATATATATATATATATATATATATATATATATATATATATATATATATATATATATATATATATATATATATATATATATATATATATATATATATATATATATATATATATATATATATATATATGTATATATATATATATATATGTACATATATATGCATATATATATATATATATATATATATATATATATATATATATATATATATATATATATATATATATATATATATATATATATATATATATATATATATACACACATACATATATTACTTTTCTTTAGATGAATAAAAATAAAAAATTAAACATTGAAGATGCTCTAGCATACATTCTAGATGGTGAAAGTGATTTTGAGGATCTGAGTGAGTCAGACTCTGATTTTGAACCTGATCTTTCGACTGCTGTTGTAAGCAGTACTAAAATTGTGCATGATAACAACAATGCCAATATACCTTTACCCATTTCGGAGTCTCTTACCCAAGAAAGCAGTACAGACGATGATATGCTTTGTTTCAACTCCTCACCTCCACCCAAAAAATTAAAAATAATAAAAATAAAAAGAGTTTAAGAGTTTTGCCACTTTGGAAAAAAGTTCCACTTGATAATGACTTGATTGGTGATATTACTTTTCAAGAAGTACCTATTGAACCTATTCCAGATGAAACTACCACTCCATACGAATATTTTAAAATGTTTGTTGATGACAATCTTATCGACATTCTTGCTGAACAATCTAGTTTATATAGTTGCCAGTCATCAGGTACAAGCATTTGTGTCACATCCAATGAAATAGAATCGTTTATTGGTGTTTATTTTTGTATGGGTCTTGTGAAACTACCATCAGTGAGATCTTATTGGGAAACCTTTATGAATTATGATGGAGTAAGCTCAGTATTATCAAGGAATAGATTTCTTTCTATTCTTCGCTATTTACACTTTGTTGACAATTTAAAAGTAACAGATGAAGTAAAGAAAAATGATCGGGCCTGGAAATTAAGACCTTGGTTGGAAAAACAAATATATTATGGTAAAGCAACCTTACATAGTCCAGTTTTGTAATAAAAATATGGGTGGAGTTGACAAACTGGATATGATGTGCTCATTCTACAAATCAAATTTGAAATGCCATAGATGGTATGTATATATATGGGCACATACCCTTCTTATTGCGTTATCAAATGCATGGTTTTTGTATCGTCGGGACTTAAAAATTATTTGCCCCACTAAAAAATTCATGCCTCTAAAAAAGTTTCAAGCTGCAGTAGCTTCTAGCCTGATAGCTGTTGTAAAAAGTAAAGCTGGAAGACCATCACTTGATGCAATACCTCTACCAACCAAAAGACCTGCTGCTGTTCAGAGTAATCCTACAAAGGATATCCGGTTAGACGGATTTGATCACTTACCAACTTATAGTGACAAACGTCAGCGATGTAAGAAATGCAAAACCGGTTTTTCCTATATCTGTTGCAAGAAGTGCAATGTTTGGCTATGCTTAATTAAAGACAGAAATTGCTTTCATGACTACCATTAATGGCATTTAAGATTTGTTTTTATAACTTATATTTATATTATAAACGATTGTTTACTGTAAATGTATATTTATGCTGAAAATGTTTTTTATTTGTATAGAAGAGAGTTAGTCAGTTCAAAACATAAGTAAAAGTTTATTTTTCTGTTAAATTGCTTTAATTTGTTCTTTAAATTTAAAAATAATCTCTTTTTTTTAAAGAAAACTATATTTATAATTTAATTCCTCATATTCCCATTGTTGCAGATATGCTACAATTAAATAATTGACTTTGCAAGTGAGATTTTTAGCTTTTATTATTTTATTTATAATCTAGGTCCTAAAACAGTTGGTTTTTGAAGGTTTCGGAATTTTTAGAAAAATTTAGGCTTTGGTGGGCGCTAAAGGGATATATATATATATATATATATATATATATATATATATATATATATATATATATATATATATATATATATATATGTATATATATATATATATATATATATATATATATATATATATATATATATATATATATATATATATATATATATATATATATATATATATATATATATATATATATATATATATATATATATATATATATATATATATATGTATATATATATATATATATATATATATATATATATATATATATATATATATATATATATATATATAGAGAGAGAGAGAGAGAGAGAGAGAGAGAGAGAGAGAGAGAGAGACACACATATATATGTATAAAACGACTAAAAAGTTGCAAATTCCTCAAACATAACCTATTTGTCAGAAGATTTGTCTGTTTTTTTAATACCTTTTTACCTTAACCATATTTTTTTTGTAATTTCAAAACAATTATCACTTTCATTAGCTGAAACAAAACACTCTAAACCTTGATAATTTTTAAACTGTAAACAGCGTCTTAATGCAATTAGTACTACCATCAAAATAAGGAATACTAAACTTCTGTTTATCTTCATGTATGTGTTTATTTGAGTAACCCTTTGGTCTTTGAACAAGCTTTTTTAAACGACCTGAAAAAGTTTTGTATTTGAAAGAGGGACATCTATCAAGTACTTAAAATTTAACTGTATTAATTTGTATATGTGCTAATGAATGGACATTGTACACTAGTTGATCCTTATGATAAAGTTCACATATAAAACGGCACAAAATAAGTAGCTGAAAAGCAAAATTAACATACTTTTTCAACAAAATAAAACATTATAAAACTAGAACTATAACTGAAAAATCTAAAAAGTTTGAATAGATTTTTGGCTAAACCATTCCCTTTAAACAACTGGTCAGTGTATACTATAAATAGTCTAAGTTCAGTTGCTTTCAATTTTTTAATATCTAAGACCTTGATTTTCTAAAAAAAATTTCTTGGAATGTAATGACGTATCTAGAACAATCCACCAGATAAAGTATTGACTTTAATTTGAGACAATTTACAACATTTGGGCAAGTTAACCATAAGTTGACAAATCTTCGCATTACCCCTAAGCATACTAGATGCATAAAGTCTAAAGGAAACTTTGTCACCATGTCAAAATTTAATTCAATTTAACACACCACTAAGATGTTCAGAATGCTTTTGATGACAAAAAATCTAAATCAGTGCTTAAAATTTGTGAAATATGTAAGAGAATTATCTTGCCATACCATTCTCCTCTCTAAACACAACACTCACATCAGTTATAACTATTGTGTCCTTTAATACACTTTACAAATGCTCTGGCTAGTGCATCACATATGATAACAGGAAGATTGATTTTAAACTCAATATTTTCATAGATAAAACCATCTTTTGCAAGAACTTTGAAATCTACTAAAAAATTATGTAGATAATTAAGGTGACCAACTATTTACATTTACTGAGTTTTGTACTCTTTTTTTACAAACCATACTCTTTTGAAATCCTGTACTCTGAAAGTACTCATTAATATAATTTTGCACTCATTTGTATTTTTAAAAATTTTTTTAGATTATTTCAATTCAATTTTATTAATTAGATATTTAAAATTATTTTGACAGTGATTTGAATTTCACGCGCGCATATTGCTTGCCGTTTCCGGCACGTCAGAGGACAGGGCAAACACAAGACACAAGTTTGACAGTGATTTAAATTTTGCACACACATTTAGCTGCTTATTTCGAGCACAATTGAGAGGTCGTATTATATACCTGGAGAGATAGATAGATACTACAGACCTCTCTTTTTAACAACGTCAAAATTACATTTGTGAAAAGAGATGGATATATCTATCTCTCTAATATTTGTGTATGTAATCCCCAGGCTGATCTTTGATGTGCAGTATGTGTATGTAATCCCCAGGCTGATCTTTGATGTGCAGTATGTACAACATGCTTGACTGTCTTGACGCATGCGTAGTATGTACAGCAAAGTTTTTTTATCCATTATATAAATAAAACCATGCTGTACATACTACGCATGCGCTTATCGTTAATTAACCATAAAATCAAAAATTATCAACTTAATTATAATTTTCAAACTTATGTTCGGTATCATTCATATTAAAAAATAGTCAATGGAGCGACACCTTAAAAAAAATAACCAAATAAAATAAAAAAAGAAGTAATAGGAACAATAATATTAAAAAAGTTGGAATTAGCACAAAAATATAATGGAGTTACGCTAAGAAAAAAAAAAAAAAAAAAAAAAAAGAGAGAGAATGAACGGATAAGATAAGATGAGTGAGAAAATATGCAAGAGAAAACAAAAACTCAATCACATAAGTTCAGAAGGATAGAGTGACAGAAAACAATTTTTGCAGAAAAATATAAAAAAACAAGTTAAAGGCAAATTTAAATAAAAAAATATATACATAAATTACTACATACAATATTAAAGGCTATATTAAAGCCTATAAACTGACCGCTTTGGAAGATTCCAATTCCGGAAAAAAAAAAGAATTTTTAAAAGAAGTTAAAAATTTTTATAAAATTTCCTATGAATATTTTGAAGAATGGATAATGAACTTTAGAGCATTGAATTGTACCCTTTAGAGAATTGAATTGGACCCTTATAAATAATAAAGTTAAATGGAAAAAAGTTTCTTCAGCAGTCAAATTTGTAATGAAGGAAGTAAAAGATATTGTTATTAATGACAATTTTCTCTTTGAAGAAATTTGAATAGTAAATTTATATTTAAATGAAGAAAAATTGAAAAAATAAAATGATGAAAAAACAGAACTTGACAAAAGATGGGTAGAAATCTTTCGGCATTTTAGAGTAGAACAAATCCCACATGAAAATTTAAAAGTTTTTATAGAAATTTCTTTATGTTGTCCAGGCACTAATGCTGCTGTTGAAAGGGTGTTTCACTAAGGAATGATTATTGGAGCTGTGAGAAGTTGCAACTTTCTGTAAAAACATTATCTGCCATCTTATTATTCAAATTTAATATGTTCAAATGCGGCTACATTATTAGACAAACATCCTTATTTAGCAAAAAAAATCCACTCTGAAGAAAAATATGTTTTTAAAAGAAAATAAAGTTTTCATGGTTTTTTTTTTTTTTTCACCTATGAAATACATGCAAAGTGTACTCTTTTTGAACAAAAGATAATTGGTACCTTTATGATAATTAAAAATGGAATTAGATTTTTGGGCACCACTTTTTAAACAAATTTCTAAAAACCCAATATGGGTCCCCTAATATTGTGAGTCCTAGGCCTAGGCTCTGACGGCACCATTGATAAATAGCAACAACTTTTGGCAAAGTTGATTTAAAATTTTTTGCATGTATGTTTAAATTTTGTCACTATTTTAGATTTTCATTGAATAAATTCCTATATAAAAATATATTTTATATAAAATATTTATGAGGCATTATTTTCTTTTACTATCAGCTATCAAACTGATCTCAAGATCTTAATCTGATATCAAGTCAGTTTAGACTTGATCAGCTTCAGCATTAATCTGAAGCTAATGAGTTTATAGCTGAAGCTTAAATATCAGCTGCAACCCTTACTTTATAGACAACAAAGTTAATGTGATGTATATACATTATAATAATAAATGTGTTTTTTTTATACTCAAATACTTATTTTTTCATAATATTTAATACTTAGGAAATACTGACTTTTGCTGAATATTCTTCAGATAAAAATAATATTTTCTTACATTACTCTAATCAAGGTAATATCAACGGTAATATTTACTCAAACTATTATATTTGTAAAAAGTTATTACCATTATTATTATAGTTATATTTACTAACCTGTTATTACTAATATTTATTAAAAATACATTCTGGTTGTTGAAGTGCAATATTGTCAACAGTCAGAGTATGCAAATATTGTCAACAATAAAATGCAATATGCAAATATTGTCAACAGCCAGAATACACCATGCAGAAATATTCTTGAACATGCTGCAAAATACAAGATTTACATAAGATACATATCATATAAGACCTATTACCTGGAACTTAACATTTTATCGTGTTTAACTTACTATAACTCAATTGTAATAAATAAGAATATGGTTATAATCTATATAATAACTATTATCTTTTTTTAGTTATTGTTATTTATGTTAAAGTTATCAAGTTAAATTAAAGTTTTATAACTAAAGTTTGAATGCAAAAGTTCATATCAATAAAATTTTTATCAGTATTATAAACAAGTATTTATCAGTATTATATTACAAGTATTTACAAGTATAGGTATTGTAAGTGTAAGTTATTATTATGTATATTATGAAATTATTGTTAATATTACAAGTGTACAATTTCATATCAAAGTCTAAAAATATCAATGATTAAAAAATGAGGTTGGTGCATAACATCAGTCATTTTGCTTGCAAAATATACAGAAAAATCAATGGAAAAGAGTGGATTTGTAAAAACGATTTAAAAGCTTTTAATTCCCTAAATATAACCTATCCATTACATTCTATTCGCCTGTTTGCTCTTTTTAAATGTTTCTGACTAAAAAAAATATTATGATTAAACTCAAAGCAGTTATTACAATCACTAGCAGAAACAAAACTTTATATTTTGATCATTTTAAAAATGCAAACAGTGTCTCAATGGAATATTTACTACATGTTTAATAGTTCCTGGAACATATGTTAAAAAATATGTTAAACTTTGTAAATTTAATTAAAAAAATATATATA